TGTTCACTGAGATATTCAACATCTCTTTATCTCAGTCGGTGATCCCCACATGCTTCAAAGAGTCCATCATTGTTCCTGTCCCGAAGAAACCCCACCCTGCTTCTCTCAATGACTATCGCCCTGTAGCCCTCACCTCAGTAGTGATGAAGTGCTTTGAACGCCTGGTCAGAGACTTCATCATTTCTTCACTACCAGACACACTGGACCCACTACAGTTCGCTTACCGTCCAAATCGTTCCACAGACGATGCCATCTCTCATCTCCTCCACACATCACTCACTCACTTGGACACTAGAAGGGGGAATTATGTTAAAATGCTCTTCATAGACTACAGCTCTGCATTTAACACCATAATTCCCTCCACACTCACCACCAAGCTGGAGCATCTGGGACTCAGCTCATCTATGTGTCAGTGGATCTCCAACTTCCTAACTGGCAGACCACAGGCAGTAAGGATGGGCGGACATGTCTCAGCCTCCACCACTCTCAGCACTGGAGCCCCCCAGGGGTGTGTTCTGAGCCCCCTGCTGTACTCTTTGTACACATATGACTGTGTGGCCACTACCAGCTCCACCACCATCATCAAGTTTGCTGACGACACCGTCGTGGTGGGCCTGATCTCTGATAACAACGAGACGGCCTACCTGAAGGAGATTAGGAATCTGGAGAACTGGTGCCAGAGGAACAACCTCCTTCTAAACGTCAGTAAGACAAAGGAGCTGATAGTGGACTTCAGCACTAAGCAGGAGAGGAACTACCAGACCCCCGTCATCAACGAGTGCCCAGTGGAGAGAGTGGACAGCTTCAAATACCTCGGAGTTCACATCACGCAGGACCTGTCATGGTCCTGTCACATCAACACCGTGGTGAAAAAGGCCCGTCAGCGTCTCTACCACCTCAGACGCTTGAGAGACTTCCAACTGCCCTCCAAGGTGCTCAGGAACTTTTACTCGTGCACCATAGAGAGCATCCTGACGGGAAACATCTTAACCTGGTTCGGGAACAGCACCATGCAGGACAGACGAGCTCTACAGAGGGTTGTGCGGTCAGCTGAGCGCACCATCCGCTCCGAGCTCCCTGACCTGCACTCAATCTACAGCAGGCGGTGCTGGACCAAGGCCAGGAAGATCGTGAAGGACCTCAGCCATCCCAACAACAGACTGTTCTCTCTGTTGAGGTCAGGAAAGCGATTCCGCTCCCTGAAGACCAACACAGAGAGACTGAGGAGGAGCTTCTTCCCGCAGGCGATACGGTCTCTCAATCACACCACCACACAGTACTGACCCACACATGGTTCTTACACACACACTGGACTTTCTGGACTTTGTTTTTGCACAACACTGGTCACTATATTCTTCATTTCCGGTTAATACTTGTACAGCTGCTGTTATTGTGTATATATTTATTTATATTTAGATTTCTTCATACATTCTTATATAGTTCTATATTGTGTATTTTGTTGTACAGTTATTTTATTTTCAACTTTAATTTATATATTTTATCTTATTCTTCCCAGTTAAATTTACCCTTCATTCTAATTTGTGTTGTACAGTTATTTCATTTTTAACCTTAATTTATATTTTATTCCTTCCTAGTTAAATTTACCCTTTTTAATTTTTCATATTTATTTCCTATCTTATTCATAGCCTTTTCCTTTTTTGTTTTCTTTAGGTCACGAGCAGTTGTCCAAGCATTTCACTACATATCGTACTGTGTATGACTGTGTACGTGACAAATAAAATTTGAATTTGAATTTGAAGCAGACTATGATGATGTCTTTGTATGGGGCGCCGTTTGTAAAGTGAAACATGCTGAAATTAACGGCAACATTTTTCCACATTTAGCTCAAAAACTTACAAAAACATATTTTTTGAGTAATTTTTTACAACATTTAGTAAAATATTTGTAACTTTTCATCAAATGTTAAATATTAAATCTAAATGTTAAATATTAAATCTAAATGTTAATTTAAATCTAAATGTTAAATGTTAAATCTAAATGTTAAATCTAAATATTATATTTAAATCTAAATGTTAAATGTTAAATCTAAATGTTAAATGTTAAATCTAAATGCTAAATGTTAAATGTTAAACCTAAATGTTTAGGCTAATATGCAAATGTATTGTACGGATCAACGGAAATACCAAAATAAAAGCTTCCCGAAAACCTCCGGTGCAAAATTGTGTCTGTTCTCTTCCTCGCTTCTCCCCGCCATGTGCTGCTTCACTTCTTGCCTACGAGCATGTCCAGCGATTTTTGTTCTCACATTTCACATTGATAGAGATGACTTTAGATTTTTGTGCCCAAGCTCATTCTCAGCAGTACAGTAATACTTTCCAGAGTCAGAGCAGGATGGAGCTGAAAACTGTTGGTTTTGGCTGATCGGTTGTTGTCCTCCTTGTACCAGGTGTAATTAGCTGCTGGGTTAGCATCACTGCTAAGTAGAGTCACTGAACTTCCCTCCACTATTTCACAGAGGGACTCACTGACACAGAGGGAAGCTTGGAGCATCTAGAACAGAAGAATATTAACGATTAGATGATTAATAGATCATTGATCATAATTGACTGTCTATTTTTCTGTTAATAATTACAGCAAGCAAAACACAAGAATACAAACTTTAATCTTTATTCTTCTGGCATTAATGTTTATTCAAAATATCCGTATTTCTTCTTTAAAGTTATGGTCAAGACATTTCCATCACTTTCATTTCAGTCTGTCACACCCTCAAGTATGGGGAAACAGTCAGCCTTTAAATATTTGAAGGATCTGTTATCCTCAATATATTAGGTTCATGCTTTGCATGAACAGACCATGTTTGCTGGATTTGTCAGTTGTTCCATAAATTGGATGTACACATGACAGTCCATGGACAGACCTTTGTAGACAGTCAAAAACAGATCTCCTGTGCATCTCTGACTATTACACTGCTAATCAGTTCCTCAAAAGTTAAATAAGCAGGATTACATCTACATTTGTATTTCAAAATAAAATTAAACCACTTATAGTCAGGGGAAACATTATTTGAACCGCTGCTTATTTTGCAAGTTTGGCCGCTAACAAAGATGAGTCTTTAATTTCAATGATGGGTTTATTTGAACAGTGTGAGATCAATAACGGAAATAAAATGCAGAAAAATGCATTTCAAAAAAGTTATAAATGAACTTGCACTTTCATGAAGGAAATAATTATTTGATCCCCCACCAGTCAGCAAGATTTCTGGCTCCCAAGTGTATTTTATACAGCTGATGTTGGGAGCCTTCTCAACTCATTACCTGTATAAAATACAGATGTCCATAGAAGCCATCAGTGCATCCAGATTCCAAACTCTGTACCATGGCCAAGATGAAAGAGCTTCCCAAGTATATCAGGCAAATCAAAATTCTGGCCCTACACAAGGCTGGAATCAGCTATAAGACCATCACCAAGCAGCTGGGTGAGAAGGTGACAACATTATTATTCACAAATGGAAGAACTATAAAATAACTGCCATTCTCCCTCGGTCTGGAGTTCTATGCAAGATCTCACCTCATGTAGTTTCAGTAATAATGAGAACAATGTGGAACCAGCCCAGAAATACTCGGAAGGAACATCAGTGATCTCAAGGCAGCTGGACCAAGAAAACACTATGCCATGAAGGACTGAAATCCTGCAATCCCCTGTTTGAAGTTTGCCACTGAACCTCTCAATAATTCAGAGGGGGACCGGGTGAAAGTGTTGTGGTTAGATGAGACAAAAATTGAGATATTTGACATCAACTCAACTCGCTGTGTTTGGAGGAGGAAGAATGGTGCCTATGACTCCAGGAACACCGTCCCCACCATCAAACATGCAGGGTGTTTTTTCTGCCAAGGGGACAGGACAACTGGACCGGATTTTTAGAAATACATTTTTCTGGGTTTGGTGGTTATTGTTCTGTCACTCACTGTTCAAATAAACCTACCTTTGAAATTATAGACTGACCATTTCTTTGTAAGGGGCAAACTTACAAAATCAGCAGGGGTTCAAACAATTTTTCCCTGACTATAAATGGTGAGACAAGGTGGTGGTTAAGATTGCTTTGTTATGCATGGGGAAAAAGCAATGATTGCTCAACTCATCTTCTCCTACCTCTTCTCCACAGCAACTTTATAATGAAGTCACCTTATTTCCTTAAGTAGATGTTCCTCTTTAATCTTAATTATTTGTTGTTCAGAATACTACTGTCTTTCATGTAATTATTTGCTTTCTTCACAACAACAATACGAGTCCTTCCGGTATGATGGCGCCTGTGTTCAGCTCTGCCGCTGCCGGTTGTAGTTTGTCGCGCTCTACTACTGTTGTGTTGTTTTTTTCTGCTCTACTGTTCTCACTCAGTTTTAATGATGTATTTGCGGCCCTGGCTTTGCTATCCATCCGATCCTCTATGATGCCACACGATGTCTCGTCGTCCTCTGGCATTTTCCACCCTCCTCCATTAGCTGGATCCTCATCAGGCGATTTCAGTGGTCCCTCTAGACCACGGAGAAGGAGAGGGAGAAGAGGAGGTATTCAGGTAAAGCTCAGGATGTACTGGCGGCGTGGTTTGGCTGGTAAGCGACGTCGAGCGTGCGTTGTCTCCTGTGTCCAGAAAAGCTCCATGGAGGGGGACTTGTTTTCCACGGCCTTGTTTGGATACGCTGGGCCCGGCTCTTTGAGACCTTGCCACCTCAGGAGGGTTTATCCAGACTCTTCTGCGGGCTGGCTTTTTCTTCCCTCGGTGAGTGGATTCTACGAGCGTGACGGCTCGAACCCTGTGTATTTACGTCCCTTAACTCGAGCCTCTGCAAATAATGAGGCTTCTAGCTCACTGAATATGGCGCTTTTTAACGCTCGATCTCTCTCTAATAAATCATTCTTGTTGAATGATTTTATATTATCTAAAAAACTCGATTTTTTATTCCTGACTGAGACCTGGCAGCGGGATGTAGACTACTCGTCACTTATTGAACTCTGCCCGGATGGCTATACTTGTCTGGTCGGGGTGGTGGGCTTGCCGTGGCTTTCCAGGACCGTTTCTCCTGCCGCTCCGTGAAAACTGGACTTTTTCACTCGTTTGAGCTGCAGCTGCTTAAAATTGGTAACAAGGATCCTTTCTACTGTGCTGTGGTGTATCGTCCACCTGGATATAACAGGTTATTTTTATCGGAGCTCAGTGACTTCTTATCCGCTACTATGAGGCTGTCTAGGGTGCTTATAGTTGGGGACTTTAACATACACGTTGATGATGACTCCGACCCATTCGCCAGAGACTTTATGAACATTATGGATTCTTTTCATTTTGCTCAGCATGTGTCCGGTCCTACACACAGCAAAGGTCACACACTGGACCTTGTTTTTACTTTGGGTTTAAATATTGATTTTATTTGCTCTGAGGACATTTTTATTTCTGATCACTATGTTATTGTTTTTAACTTGTCTTTTAATGAGCCTTTGTCCCCCGTCAGACGGATGGTTAGCTCTCGCATCTTAAACTCCTCCACAGCAGAGAAATTTCAAATTCAAATTCCAAATTCAAATTTTATTTGTCACACACACACAACCATACACAGTATGACATGGGGGTGAAATGCTTGTAGCTGTACAATGCCCGACCATTAAATGACAGAAGAAAAGTTTTACAATATTTACAATTTGTGGATGCTTTTAACTTACAGCTATCTCCTCAAAATGGTGTTGATTTCTCAACCAGTCTTTTTAATAATTATTGCCTTTCTATTTTAGATGAAATTTGTCCGGTTAAGACGAGGAGTGTTTCTGCCTCTAAATCTCCTCCTTGGCTAAATGACAGTATTCGTTGTCTAAAACGTGATTGTCGTAAACCGGAGCGTAGGTGGATCTTAAGGACCTTTTAGCTTCTTTTAATAATGCGATCAGAGATGCGAGGGCTGCCCATTTCTCACACTTGGTTACAAAGAGCAGAGGCAATCCTAAGGTGCTATTCAACACCATTAGTGACATTGTTACTCCTGCTCTGCCTGCGGCCCCTATTTTTTCTAACGAGGACTGTGAAAATTTTCTGTCTTTTCTGCTTGCAAAAATTCATAACGTGAGAATGAGTTTTACACACTCACCTGTTATCTCAATCTCTACCCCATCCCGGCCCATTATCTTGGATACTTTCTCTCTGGTTTCACTACCTGAGCTAGTGAAATTAGTGAATTCTGTGAAAGCATCCTCCTGTTCACTTGACATTATACCTGCATCATTATTCAAAAATCTCTTCCAGTCTATTGGCCCATGTGACTAGTGAAATTAGTGAATTCAGTGAAAGCATCCTCCTGTTCACTTGACATTACCTGCATCATTATTCAAAAATGTCTTCCAGTCTATTGGCCCATGTGTGCTCACTTTAATCAACTCTTCACTGGCATCTGGTATAGTTCCGGTTTATTTTAAAAACGCTGCTATTCTCCCACTTTTAAAAAAACCTCAGCTTGACCCCTCTCTTTGGAGCAGCTACAGACCTATCTCTAAGTTACCGTTAATCGCTAAGCTTCTAGAAAAGGTTGTGGCTAAGCAGCTTATGGCAGCTCTGGACAAACATGGCATTTACGATAAGTTTCAGTCCGGTTTTCGTCAATTTCACTCCACGGAGACAGCTCTTCTTAGGGTCTCAAGTGATATCTTGATGAATAATGATGCAGGAAAATGCTCTGTTCTACTCATGTTGGACCTCACATCAGCTTTCGACACAGTTGACCATCACATCCTCATTGAAAGGCTGAAAAATTGGGTTGGTGTATCTGGAACTGCATTAGAGTGGTTCTCCTCTTATCTCCATCACCGATCCTTTTCTGTGGCAGTCTCCGATTTTAGGTCATCCTCTACCTCCCTTACTTATGGTGTCCCTCAAGGGTCAGTTTTGGGGCCTTTATTGTTTTTAATTTATCTTCTCCCCCTCCAGCATATAATGGGCTCTTTTGAGGACATTTCTTATCACTGTTATGCTGATGATATTCAGTTGTACGTTTCTTTTATGCCCGAGGATTTATCTAAGCTTCAGCGTCTGAATGATTGCTTAGATTTGATCAAACGTTGGATGGCTGCAAATTTCCTCCAACTCAACGAGGGGAAAACCGAAGTCCTCGTATGCGCCCCTGATAGGTTTCTATCGCAGATAGTGAAAGCCCTTGGTCCTCTCTCACTTTATGTTAAATCCTCTATCAGGAATTTAGGTGTCACCTTTGACTCGAGTCTCACATTGGATGGGCATGTGAAATCTCTGGTTCGGTCTTGTTTTTATCATTTGAGAAATGTGGCTAGGCTAAGCCCGGTTTTATCTCGCTCTGAACTCGAGATTGCTATACATGCATTTATTTCGTCACGCTTGGATTATTGTAATTCGCTGTTTATGTGTCTAAGCAAAGGTTCTCTGGATCGTCTGCAGGTTGTGCAAAACGCTGCAGCTAGGCTTTTGACAAAATCCTCCAAGTACTCACATGTGACACCGTTATTATCTCAGTTACACTGGCTTCCTGTTAAATTTAGAGTTGATTTTAAGATCCTGGTCTTGACCTACAGAGCTGTGCACGGACTGGCACCTGCCTACATCTTTGATCTGCTACAGCCCTATGTCCCTAGCAGGTCTTTGAGGTCATCTGATCAGGGCTTACTTGCTATAAAAAATACTAAGAGGAGGACTAAGGGTGATAGAGCTTTTGCCACTGTGGCCCCGAGACTGTGGAACTCGTGAATAATCCTTTGAATATCAGCTTTCAAGCAAAGTATAGCAAACTAATATGTCTGTCCTGAGACCTATAAAGCAAAGGTTTTAATCTGATTTAGCTCACTGAAAACTCTGATCACCTGTAACAGTACTTCTCTCTTTATGTAGGCTATGATGATAAAAATTCCTAAGGTGCCCCCTTAGAGACACATTTTGGCATAAAAGAACTCACCTGCTTATGTACAAAGGTTCTGCCTCCAATTACAAGTTGGCTAAAACAACCAACACATTATTTTCTGTCAGAAATGAAGCAAGCTGACTAAAACTAGGAAAGTCCATCAAGTTAATTTCTGCCTGTCTCTTTTTTTCTTTTTCGAAACTCAGACTTTACTGATAACAGAGACATCCTACTGCAGCGCTATCTCTGTATCGCTAAGAGCGCGTGCACATGGACCAAACCAAATCATGAAATAAGGAGGGGGAGGCGGGGTCAGAGGCTGACTGAATTATAGTCTTTGGTGTCATAAACAAACAAAACTAATGCTAGAAAACGAACACGTTTATAAGTACCTTGTGAAGCAAACCGTATTTTATGGTGATAAAGTTAATAATTTCATAACAAAAACAAATAAATAAAATAATATGTATGGACTATTTGACTATTCCCTTCATAGAATCGTCATAACTTCTCTCCTCTAAGGAAATCCTCTCTTAATTGATTTCACTTGCAGACTTAAAAAAGACGTACAACCGACCTGGTGACATCATCACTGGGAACGTGCTCCTGGTTTTGATATGACTGTGACAATTTTTAATTTCTTGTTATTTTATTGTTGTAATTGTAACATGTTTGTCTGAAGCGGGTCTCCCTTGTAAATGACTTACTGAGTCTCGATTGAGCTACCTGTATAAATAAAGGTAAAATAAAAAATAAAAAAAGTAATTGAGTTAACTAATGAGGTTGCTTTGTCTGCTTTGGCCAATAGTGGTCACTGCATGACATGTGCATTACATGTGCAATGCATCTTTTGTCAGTCATCTTTTGCTGACTTTTGAAGACTGGCATATCCTATTTAATACGTGCGTGGTTTTCTTGATTGATTGATTGATTGATTGATTGATTAGGAAAGCTTTTAGAAAACTTTGTTGGCTGCAGTTCTTCTTTGCTCTTTCAATGTTGGGATAAATTCTCTTTCCACATTCGAGTGAATCCAGGCTGCAAATATATAATCAAAAATGGACAGGTCAGCAGGGTGTTTTGTTTTTGTTCTGCAGATCTAGATGACTGAGTTTTGTGCGATACCTGTGATTCACTGGGCAGGTTTAAATACTCACTGTAATGATTTCTTATCTGCAGTGCCACGCTGAGACACAACACAGGAGGTCTTGGTGCATTATCCTCCACACCTGCAGGTGGTGGTGGTCCAAGTTTATTCTCCTCAGCAAGAGAAGTGAGTAGATTTGTAAACAGTAGACTGTAGGATATGCACAGCATGACAGTACGGCAGATTCAAGTAATAATATGAGCCAGGTTTTGTTGACTTTGGAGTGCAATGCAGATGAATTATGAACTTTTTATTTTTGTAGACAGAAAAAGAGAGGAGATGATATCATTGCCATTAATACACAGACACATGTTATAAGAAAATCAGAAAATGTCAAAAAGAATTTGTAATATTTCTATGTGAGATGCTCCTGAACTGAGGGCTGTGCTGCAGCTGTTAAATTTAACAGCAGAGTACTCATGGACGGGTGGCTGGCCTCTCCTTTAGAGATACAGTGATGAATTTATTCCTCCGAGAGAGAGTCTGAGTAGAGCCGCTGCTCCTCCACCTTGAAAGGAGGCAGTTTAGGTACTTTAGGCATCTGACAAGGATGCCTCATGGGTCAGGTATTTCGGCCATTTCCCACTGTAAGGACAGAACGACAGATGGATACACTGAAGGAGGTGGCCGGGAAGAGGAGAAGGGTTTGGTGAAGGTCACGTGTTTCCGCTTGCTGTGGAGCTCCACAGTGGCTGCAGCCAGGTGCTCTTAGGGAAGAAGGAGGTCTGTGTGTCCTTTAGCTGTTGTTCCTTTAGCTCTTCCTAATCAAGGCTCATGCAGGATGGAAACATTTGTCTTGGCTACTTGACAAATAATAAAATGTGTTTACATTAATACCAAAGACAGACCACAAACAATTTCTCAGTCAGCTCATCCCTTTACATAATTATTCTCAGGAATGAAAACACCAGCAGCATACGTCAGCAGTATTTATCTGAATGATAAAATAAAGCAGGAATCAACACGTGTTCATATTTTACCACCAAGCAGTGTGGAAACTGCTGAGTTACAGTGCTTCACACCAAAACTAGTTCAGGATATTAAATAATTTCACTAAATCAAAAAATTTAAATTAAAAAGTTTTCAGGAAGTTTCAGAAATAAAGCTGATGTTTAAGTTTAGCCTCATCTATGAATACTGCATTTGATCCTCAGCCAAACAGCACAGTCCATGAAAAAATCCTCCACAGAGGCAGAGACCGTGCTCCTTAACTTTTCTCTTTCTAACGTCTGATTAAACACCATCTAAACAACATGAGTTTCAGTCTGTTTCTTTTATACGCAAGTCTCTAACATGACTGGACTTCACTGCAGCTCTTCCTGCTCTTCAGTGTCGTCTGCAGTGATGCCCTGTGAGGCTGAGACGTTCTCATAATCAGCACGAGTGTTTACCTGATGGAGAGAGAGAGCTTTCTGTATGTTTTTGATAACATTCAAAACTAAATACTTTAGTAATACTTAAAGAACTTCACATTATCCTACCTAATTTTATTTACATTTATTTTTGGATCACTTATTTTTCTATTCTAGTGCAATAGAAACTATCATACATCTATCATAACACATGTTGTATCAGTAGAACCTCTTACTCTGATGACATTTACAGATTCATTTGGTCCAATTTCTAAAGCCACATGTGTCTTCTTCCTGGATTTAATCCAACAAAAAGAAAACGGTATTAAACTAAAAAGAATTCATGACTTTAAAACTGAAGGTTTTAAGATGGACATAAAAGAGCAATTATGACACCGTTGTTACCGTTTTTCTTTCTTTTTAAAAAGAAATGTGTTACCTCATCCACAGACCCAACACGAAGAGAGCAATCAGCATCAGGACCACCAGAGTCAATCTGATGATATTCAATATTATTACAGATTTTCCTATAAATTGAGAAAAGCACAAAGGAGATATGTCTTAGCCGAGAGATTAGATTTATAGGGTCATGCTATTTGTCATTGGGTATCATCAGTAACTGCTGTCACTAAGTTTACTCTCTTAACACAACTGCAGAAAGTTAAACATTTTTATATTTTCTTTGCACTGGTTAGAATATACACTACCAGTCAAAAGTTTGGAGACACCTTCTCATTTAATGTTTTTTCTTTCTTTTCATGACTATTTAATTGTAGATTCTCACTGAAAGAATCAAAACTATGAACGAACACATATGGAATTATGTAGTAAACGAAAAGTGTGAAATAACTCAAAACATGTTCATGTTATAGATTCCTCAAAATTGCCACCCTTTGCTTTGATTACTGCTTTGCACACTCAGTTCACAGTAACAAAACTCCCACTGTGTTCAGGTCTGAAGTCAGTGATGGTGAAGTTGTGTCCTGATGCTTTTTCTGAGTCTTCATCCTCCTTGTACCAGGTGTAATTAGCTGTTGGGTTAGCATCACTGCTATAGGTGACTGAACCGCCCTCCACTATTTCACCAGAGGGACTCACTGACACAGAGGGAAGCATTGGAGCATCTAGAACAGAGAATATTAAGATTAGATGATTAATAAGAGATCACATTTGATCATAATATACTGTCTATTTTTCATAGATAGCATCATGCTCCCTGTGTCCTCACTGGTCTGACCTGTGATGTCTACTTATCCCTCCACTCCTGGAGTTGATTCTTTGTGCAGTGTCAGACTTTAAGGAGAGTTCCTGCTTCTTGGCTTCACACACCTGCCTTTAATGATCTTGTCAAGAGCCAATATTTATAAGAGTGATGAACTGTATCATTGAATGAAAAACGGAAACCATCTGAGTCCCGCGTTTCGCCTATGGTGGCCAACCTGACATAGACTTTTATCCTTACTGTTCAAATTATTTCTATTTCTTATCTAAAGCTGTTGTCAACACATTTCCCTCAGTATCTTTTCAGTCCGTCACACCCTCAGTTGTGGGGACTGACAAGCTTTTAATTACTGCTCAGATCTGTTATCCTCATTATATTAAGTTCATGCTTCTTTTCATGGACAGACCTTTGTAGACAGTCAGAAACAGCTGATGTACACCTGTTCTTCACAATTCACACATCTCTGCTTATTACACACTCTAAGGTAAGTCTTTAAGTAGATATTCTTGTTAAATCTTACACATGTTGTTCAGGGTACTGCTGTCTTTCATTAAATTATTTGCTTCCGTCGCCACATGGCAGTCTACAGGTGATGATAGGAACTGATCTTTCATGTTCTCTGATCAGGATCAAACCACTCTTCAGCACAAAGACTATTATTTTGGACTTTAACTCAGTATCTGACTCAGATTCATGAACCTGGCTCAATTCACCTTTAAACTGGTTGTACAGTAAAACACTAAAATAATTTAAAATACATTATAGTATCTTGAATTCCACTGCACATCTTAAACAACATTTTGGTGAAAAAAGAAAGCTGAAGATCTGAAAACACAAAATTGTTCATGATCATCGCATAACACAGTGAAGTAAACTTACACACAGGATCTGAGCGATAATCTTCATGTCCTTTGAAAGCACAGGAGATGATGTCTCCAGGATTGAACAGATCTTGATAAGAACTTTGTTCAACCATAAACTGATTGTTTTTGAACCAGACAAAAGAAAGACGACCAGCTGGACTGCAGCTGCTTTCACACTTCAGCTCTGCCTCAGTCTGAGACTCATGGACTGATATTATTCTGCTCACCTTCACCTGCAGATCTGAATATGACAACACAGCAGACATCAGACTTAAATACTCAAAACAATAAATACACCCATTACCACAACTGAACAACTGAGCTGAATGAAATATTCAGTGTGTATTGATCAGTACCTGTGACAGTCAGAGTTGTTCCAGGTAAACTACTCTTCCATTCAAAGCCTTGTGTTTTGAATTTGAAGTGATACTCGGCTGAATCACTCTCTGTCAGGTCTCTGATTCTCAGAGTGGAGCGTCCTCGCTCTGTTTCAGTCACCTCAACACGACCTACATACTGGGAGTCTTCTGTGAGATCCTCAGATCCACGACCAGAACGGAACCAGGACTTTGATTGGATTGGACTTTCATAACTGTTGTAAGTACAAGAAATGTCCACTGATGATCCTTTGACTGCACAGATTCTTCTGTTACTGTAATTCACTCTGTAGCATGAATCACCTCGGACACCTGAAACATAAAATGATTTTGAAGTCAGATTTGGGAAATAGTTACAGTGAAATTTACTGTTTTTATTTAAATATGAACTCACAAACTAACGCAGAGTGAAAATCCTCAAATCCTTTTAAAGCACATGAGTAGCTGTTTTTATTGTCATATGACATTTGATATGAGTAGCTGTATAAAGTGTCATATTGAGCTTCATAAGAAGAAGAGCTGGCTCCATTCACTTGTTGTCCATTTTTGTACCAGACATAAGATGAAACATAATGATTGCACCTGGTGACACAATCCAACTGTCGTCCAGTCGACACACTGACCTGAACATCTTGAACAGTGGACAAGAAACAATAAATAAAATGTCAGTCACTCTCACACTGAGACAGATTAGGGATTTCAATTTTCAGATCTAAAACAATGAATTAGTGGGGAAAAATAGTAATTATCTTGATGTCTAAACATGAAATCTCACAAAAACTTTAGAAAATATATCATTAAAAAGCACAGAACATGTTAAGCTGACTAAATATCCATCAGTGTGTGTTCATCAGTACCTGTAACAGTCCGAGTTGTTTCACCTCGGACACCTGAAACATAAAATGATTTTTAAGTCAGATTAAAGTAAGTAATCACAGTGAGTTTGACTGTTTTTGTTCAGATGTATGTAATGACTCTATGAGATGGTTTTATGTAACTGAAATAAACTCACACACTGAAGGAGAGGGGAAATCTTCATGACCTCTTACAGCACAGGAGTAGCTATCTGAAGGATTCAGATTGGCTGAATACCGATACTGGTTTCTACTAGAAATCTTGTGTCCATTTTTGTACCAGATGTAGGAGGAATGATTGTGTAGTTGACAACTGCTCTGACAAGTCAGTGTTGCCCAGTTGGAATATGATGATGTCTCCACGTGTACCTGAAGAGCTGAATATGTGAAGAAATAAAATCAGAACAGAAACTTAGACATCTATTATCCAGATCCAAACACACACAGTCATGTTCATAACAATTTCTGACTGATGTGTAAATTAAAATGTTACCTGTGACAGTCAGAGTGACTCCAGGTAAAACAGTAAAATTTTTCTGGTCTGTTTCAAACCTGAACTTGTACACAGCTGAGTCGCTCTCTCTCAGGTCTCTGATTGTCAGAGTGTAGCTCTTCCAGTGAGAACTGTACGACACTCGACCTGCATATACTGGGTCTGTTTTCAGATCTTCAGGATTATAATTGTTCCCTTTAGTGAACCAAACTCTTTTTAACGCATTTACTCTTGAAGGGTGTTTGAAGGAGCAGCCTATGTCCACTGTTGATCCTTTTACAGCACAGATCTGAGTAGAAGTGTAAGTCACTGCATAATCATTCTGACTCTGTACCACTGTAACACAGAACACATCAGAACGCAGTCAGACTCATTACAACAACAATAAACAGTTTTATTTGTAGTTGAACTACATGCAGAGAGAAATTCTGATTCTGACATTCGGATTTAGACCAAGCGCACTTCATCACAATAGAAAAAATGAAGTTGTGCTTCATTTCTGTTTTACAAAATATTTAACAACTGTTGTTCTCAGCCAAATGTCTGAAATGTCTGTCTTCAGAACATTAATAGATAAAGATCAGCTTTCCACATATTAAATTATTATAGAAATTGTCCAGTTAGGTACAACCTATTTATATCTACCGATAGATGTAGATATATAGATGTATATAGAGATATAGGGAGAGATGTACTGGGTCTACAAAAATAAATCCCTTATGTATTGTAATTTTACATTAAAAAGTAACTCCTGCAGATACTGAATGTGTGAAAACCAGGTACACATAAACCTGTTAGAGAGAGAAGGAAGAGGACCAATCCACTCGCTGCTGCACTTAAACTCATCGCTTCTTCTCTCGCTTCTTAAATCACATCAACATGACACATACTGTTTTCCAGTTAGTCTCCATCAGTTGTTCAGGATGTAGTCTTTGATAAAAGGGTCTTCTGTGGTTAGAAAATATAAAAGAAATATTAGACTGTCTTCCTTCAACTGGACATGGTCAACATGCATAAACAGATGAAAGCCTCTAAACTCACACACTGAAATGAAGAAGTGGTTGTTATACAGTGGTTTACATGCAGAATAGCTTCTTAAAATACAAATATGGAATATTTTTAATCAGTCTTTAATCGTACAGTTCCGGGCCAGTTTATTACCAGGATCATAAATAGATTTTCTCTCATGTACATTAAGTTTTAATGTAAGTTTTCTTTGTGCGTCAATGAACCTGTAAGCGTTATTTCTTTTGGCAGTTAACTGGCATGATACTGGTTCTAATTGTTTGTGCATGTTAAAATTATGCCTCAGTACTTTTGTACCATGTTGGTAGAAATATTGAGCACTAAGTTAATAGCTGTAATGTTTGCATGCCTCAAACATTAATGATCACACCCTCAGTAATTCTCAGTTCCATTCTTTAATTCTCAGGCTTGCAGTGATAACACAGTCTGCAGCGCTAACTTGTTCATTTTCCGTTTCCTGTTCGACCTTTCAAAATAAAACTTCTGTAAACATCACAATCACCTCCTTTTTTTTTTTTTTAAACAAACTTAGGTATTCAGCGAGGTGAATTATTAATCTGAACCTATGACAACGACACCTAATAAAATTACTGAACGTTCTTATTACTTGAGTTTCTCCACACCTAAACATCACTTAAACAGCACTGCGTTTGCGCAGATCTGTGACTAAACACTATCAACATTCAACACTATAATACTGGTTACAGTGTTAGATTCAGGAACAACAAACATGTTACACGCAGCGTAACCTTTAACTGGTCACTCAGATATTCAAGTCTTAGATCTGATGTAATCAGACAGATGCATAGGTGCGCATCTGTTTGATCTGACTGGGTATCTGGGCTTGTCTGTTAAGGCGGGGTCGACATGCCGTCCAGGTGGGGCATCTTCAAGTCCATGTCTGATTTTCTTGAAGAATGAGGCATTCCTGACAATTGAGTGTCCATCCCGTGTAGCTGTAATTTCAGAACCCTTAACCTTAGTCACTTTGTAGGGTTTTGCATTGTATGGTGTGGATAATTTGTTGTGCTTGGGTTGGCGATGCAGCACTGTGTCACCC